TCCTTAGATATAAAAGTTGAACAGTTTATAAATTTTTAACTTCAAAATAATTATTCAATTTTAATTTTAAATATACATTTAGTATCTGAAAAAAAAAATCAAAAACAGAAAGTTAGCAATTTTGCAGCATTTGTAAAGCAATATTTTGTAATTGTATTAATTTTATAATTATTTAGATGTATAATTGTAATTTAATAAATTCCTTTTTTTATTAGAATTTAATATGTGCCAATTATACTAATTGAATTGTATGATACTACAATATTTCTCCATTTATGTTTGAATATCTGTAACTAAATTATAAATTAAACATTAATTAATTATTAGTTTTGTAAATTGTATTATAAGTCTTTATATGTGTCTCTATGTTGTAAATAAAACATATTTAAGTTAGGAATAAATTGTGTACTGTGTAATTATTTAGAGTATCTACCTATAAATACTTATTATAGATTTACCTATATATTACCTAACTAGTATATGTCATTTTTATGTTTTAATATGTACTTACCTTTGTTGTCCTTAAGCATGGAAAATGTCTAAATATTGAAATAAATATTCTTGTAATGTAAAGTATGATATCATCATCATGTTTAAAGTTTACAGTACTCACAAATGTATTGCGGGTAACTTTAAATATTAACTATATTATAAAATAATATGTCTGGGGTTAATACTAAAAGACTAAAAAAATGTAAATGTATAAAGTAAAGTTAAAAATACAGACTATCTCAGATAATATCTGACTATCTGTCAGGGGCGGATTGGGGAGAGATTCCGGCCCGGGAAAATACAAAGTATACCGGCCTTACCAATTTACCAAATATTTAATTTTAGCCAACATAATATTATTATGTATTACTATTTTAACATAACTACACGTTTGGCAAGATTTGAAATTTATAAAACTTTATTCGTAGTGTATATACATCGATATCAAATTTATTTTTATTTTTGAACAGTTTATGTTTACACATTTATAATAGTCCAAACTCCAAGTACTTATATATAACACAGTAAAAGTGAATAATTTAAATTACTAATGTTACGATTTTTGTATTTAATAAGAAAGGTTATTACCTATTCAATAATATTTAATAATGCGTTTTTAGACTTAAATAAAATCTTATAATTTACTTCCACTTAATATACCTGATAGGTAAATTAACAGAATCAACATGCAAAATGTATGTGTTTTACTTTATTTTCTAAAAAAATGTTTTACTGTGGTTTATTCATAATAACATTATGTAGGTACTTCAATTCTAAACAATCAGAAAAATTGTATAGTTTTGTTTTCCTTTAGTATTATTATGTAATATAATATTGAGTAAAATGTTTTGTATCCGTCTTAGTACAATCTAACAAATTATCGTTCACTATCTGTATTCACCGATCAGCCGAAACGATATAATAATATTTAGCTGTAGTAACTAAATATTATAGAAATTATTGTATACCTACGTAATGTTACTTCCCTATTATTCAATAATTTATAAATTCGCCTAAACGATCGGTTAATTTCTGACCCAAATGATATATGCTTTACTCAAGTTAATTTTGGATTATTCGCCCAAACGAATGACGTTCAAATTTTGTACACCCGAAATACGTGTACTACTGTATTAGTATACAGAATTAAAAAGTGTATAAAACAATTTTCGGAAATTTAAACACTGTTCAAAAGTTACAGCAAATCATAGTTTTTGAATATTACAGTGCTTACTGCTCAAATCAGGTTGACTTTTTCTATTTTCTACTTCCACGGGATGTCAAGTAAAGTAGACTTTTTCCGAAGTTTGTCGTTACCTAGAGATCACCCAATGTGGTTTTACATAACATATCAAGGGTTGTTTTCGATTTTAACTGTCCTAACTAGTGACCCCGCTATATTACATTTGCTGTTTTTGCTTTTCGAAAAATACTATATTTTTGCTTTCTGTCTCTCATCGTTGCGCCATCATAGATTGCCTACCTGATATACCTACTATTGCATACTGTCCGCAATCCAATTCGTATTATCTTATTTTGAAAAATCGGGAAAAAAAATGCAAATTTACTGGGCTGGTACCTAATAGGAATTTAAGAATACATAGTTATTTGAAAAAGCGGCCCACCGGGAAAACTCCCGAATTCCCGGTGGCCCAATCCGCCCCTGCTATCTGTGTTAAAAGCTTGTGTAACCTAACCTAACCTAACCTCTCTGTTATATCAACGCTCGCTATTCTCCATCAAAAAAATTACTTATTGTATAAAATGTTTGTATAGATTGTAATTATTCTTTTAATAAAAAAAAAAAAAAAAAACTTGTGTTAACTAATAAGTAATAAATAATAAAACTAATTAACTATCGTCTTTCACAGTTTCACATGTCATTATCTTACTAATTACAATCGGTACATACAAATATACAATAATATTGTATAACATTTGAACAATAATTTATTTAAACACATGCAGCTACACTGATTAGATCACACCCAATCAGAGAATCTTATTTTTTTTCTCATTGTTTTCGGCCGAGTGAGCTATTTGTTTTCATATAGTCTGTGGTATTACCCATATCCTGCCGGCCCACGACGCTCCAGTACAAGATTCGTACGACTCTATGACCATTTCACTCAATGCGCATCGTGATCGTATTGGTTATTGTTAATTATTATTAGGTACTTTTAAACTTGTGTATTTGTGTGTGTACTGTGCCCGGTGTGTCACTTTGTCTCAACTTTCAATTGTTGACTGTTGTGGAAACTTAGGTCTGTGTCTTGACAAGTACTCAAGTATGATATTACTTTAAGGTGAAGTGGGGTAACTGCGACGCAATTTTGAATAGTTCAACTTGATCTGTCAATTTCTCCTGAAATAATTAACTTAAAAATATGATGATTATTGCAATGTACTGATATGGAAGTGGTCTATCTAAGACCTAAGTACACTGTCAACATTATGTGAAATATCTAAAAAATATTTTTACGATTGAAAAAAAAAAAAAAATGTTGCACTTGCCCTTGACAAGGGGTAAGTGCAAAACGGACTGTTTAAAAATACTAATACTACTGTTATTTAAACGTGGGGTAAGTGCCTTAAACTAAAAAAATTTTATCTATAATACTACTTTTACAAAGCTGTATTTGTTCAAATAATTTAGAAATGACAGCTATTGTTAAATATATTGTCATATTTTTATCATATCCTACAAACTATTATAAGCATACCTATCCTTACTTACATTTCACTTCACTCTTATATAAGAAATTTTAAGATTTATATAGTATTTTGATAAAACAACAATGCAAATATTTTCAAATACTTTATTAAACAATTTATGTTTGTATATACCTATATAAAAAACAAAAAGTTAACAAATGTCATAAGTACTTAGAAATAAATAATATGAAAATATGAAAAACTTTTAGTAATAATTATTTAAATCAAATGCTTTAAGTAACTACTAAATTATTTTCATATATTTTATCAGACTTTAGATTACTTTTTTAGATTATATTGACTAAATGTAATTCCAAATATAAATTGAGATCTTCTCATCCTTTTTTTGTATCAGTTAAAAAAAAGTTAACATTTTATACTTAGAAACAAACAATAAGTAATAAAATATAAAATATGTTTTTAATATGTTTTGCAAGACACGGATCATTTTTGCTGTAACTATCGCCTTTTTTGGTTTTTCTTACATAATGCCTCACCATTTTCAACTAATGATAATACAAATATACATCGAAATATTAGTATAAATCATAATTGATAGATTAAGTATTAATATGATACATAACTGACATTGTATTAGAAAAAAACAATGTTTAGCTGTTACAATGTTTAATTAAAATAATTAATATTAATTTTTAAAAGTGGCAACTGCGGCATGTCATGTCGCACTTACACATAAATTAATGTCGCATTTACCCCGTTGGTCATTTTACACGGGGGAAGAGCATAATCCGAATTAGCGAATATAATTGTATAATTAAACACGTAAATATCACTAAAAACCTAAGCTACACATAAAATTACACTACTTAACTTAGTTCGAAGCTTCCGAAATAAATTTGAATTGCTAAAAAAAATAATTGATAACAAGTCTACTTTTCAAAACACGAGTGATATTACAATTGTTGGTATCAACTCTGATAGCACGCAAACGAATAAACGTACAGTGCTGCAAACTAGATATTTAAACTCCCACTATATTGTAGATTAATTTTCATTATTGATATGTGATAGAATTTATTTTTCCCACCATAATACTGGAAAACGCACTTACCCCAGTTGAGTGAAGTAATGCTAACGCGGTTCCGCCTAGGGTCCTCGATTCAACCGGAAAAAAAAAAAGGTTAGGTTAGGATATATATTTGTGTATGGCATGACGCTCTACTCATGCTACTGGTCTCCAAACACTTCGCTCCAAGAATTCAAACAATTTCTGAGCCGCCTAGAAACTGATGTCAGACGGAAAACTATCTATCGGAAAACCCTGATAGCTGGAGACTTGAACGCGTGGCATACGACATGGGGACCAAGATACAGCAACGCCCGCAGATAAGCATTAGTAGACATGATCTTCTCCCTTGGGTAATAGGTAAAAATACCCGAGGTAAAAATAACCATGGGAAAAATAAACGTGGAAACAATACCCAGTGGAAAAAATACCCAATATAAATAATATCCTGCAATATAAAATATACAAATCGACTGCTATATATGTACTACTATATTTGTTATACATAGCAACTTCATAATCTTGTAATCTCGTAATCTTGCACACTTGGTATTTCCTAATTGCGTATCACGTATCAGTTATATTTTATCTATATTGGACTATTTAGTTATATGTTGTGTTTCGTCTGTCAGTCAGTTCTTTACTTCTACCGTTTTCGTATATGCGATCTACAATCAATAATTTTGAATTTGTGGATATCAAAGGTAATTAAATTTAATATTAGATATTAATGATACATTTCAATATTCAAATATTTTAACTATAGATGAATGAAGAGCTGAAAATTATCAAATCAAACAAAAAAAACGAAAAACTATGCTACAATGGTTATATGTACGTTATTCATCACAAGCTGAAATCTTGTCTTCGATGGCGATGCTCGAAATACGGATCCTTCAACTGCCGAGCAGTGTTAAAAACTGATCTCGAAAAAAAAAATCCAAAAATTGTTGTTAAATATATATACGCAATGGATAGCACAGAAGTAAATGTGACGATAAGTGTGGGAGAAATGAAGGTAAGCCATTAATAAGTCATAGATTTTTTTTCATAACAATTATTTTACTACATTATCTCGATAACTATTATTTAATGTATGATTAAAAACGGATATCAAAATATCGATATCAAAAATATCAAAAACCTATTATTAAAAAAAGGGGTCAAGTGGATGTCGCTCCGCTGTACAGTAGGTTACAAGTGGGTCACTGTATAATGGATGGTATTAAATTTGAATTCAATGATATTATTGTGAGTTTTAAATTTTCAATCCTTAGCAATAAAAGTTGAACATTTTATACATTTTTAACTACAAAATAATTTTAAATTTTAAATTTGATAAATGTTGTCAAAATTCGAACTTTAAATTCTTATAAAAAAAATGTGTGCCTATGTATTTTTAAAATTTTTCAATAGCTATTGTAACAATATATCAGGAGCCTTGTATTAAATTTTCATGATTTTTGACCCAACAAATAAAAATTTATTGGTATTTATATAAAAAATAACTAAAAAAATTGAAATTTGAAATGGTCTGTAAAAGCTCAAAAGAGTCAAATATATTCAAAATTGTATGGTGTATAGAAAATGCAAGTATAAACACTCAGTGAAATTTTTAAGTATCTACAGTCATACAGTTAATTAAAACAAAATAAGAAAATAACATATTTTATAATACTTATATTAAAGGCAAAAGCGGCTACAAGTAGAGTAAATCCTTTACAATTGTACGCAGAAGGAATATTACAGTTGGATTACAATGCAAGAGCACGTTTGCCTTCTGAAGATACCGTAAAACGCACTCTTCGTAATCAACGGTCCAATAAATATCAAAAATGTCCTACGTCACTGGATGAATTAATAATTGAAGGTATTTAAGTTATATAAATGAAAATATTATGAGTATATTATATTTTTATGCAACTCTGCTTTATAAGTCTCGCACATTTTTTATCTTAGGCGAATTTTGTACAATCGGAGAGCCTGACGGTCATCGATTCTTACTTCATGATACTGGTACTGATTCTGATGAAAGAATAATAATATTTTCCACTGATGCTTGTCTTCAACGTTTAACTGAAGTTGATACATGGTATATGGATGGAAATTTCGCCTCCGCTTTTCCAACAGCTATACGTTATTAGAGGTAAAATCAACAAAGTATTTACAACTATGGTGTACTGTTTGTTGGAGCGGAAAACCCAATCTACTTATGAAAATGTGTTTAATATTATTCTAAATGAATGTGAAAAGCGTAATTTAAAACCCGAACCAATGAATATATACATCGATTTTGAAAAAGCCGTAATTGAAGCTGCCAAAAATATTATAGGTGATCATATTACAATCCACGGCTGTTTTTATCACCTATGTCAATCCACACATCGTAAAATCCAAACACTAGGTTTAGAACGTTATTGTAGAGAAAATGAAATATTTAATCAATTTTGTGGTATGTAGATGGATTAGAATTTTTACGTATAGATGATGTTATTAAAGGTTTAGAATTTTTAAAAAGTGTTATGAACGTTGAAGCGACAGACCTCGTAAAATATTTTGAAACCACTTACGTAAACGGTTGTCCCAAAATATTAGGTAAAAATAAAAGAATTAAAGTGAAAAACATTCCGGCTCCATTCCCTCCTTCTGTTTGGAATGTACATTTAACCACTTTAAATGATAATGATCGGACAAACAATCAAACTGAAGGATGGAACCATCGATTTTCTAAACTTGTTAATCAAACACATCCATCCATATTTCATTTAATTGAAAAAATGCGCCTAGAAGTCGTTGTTGACAGCACGCATTTGTTACAAAGAGAATTAGGGCAACCGCCCAAAAAAAAAATAAAAACTTATGAAAATATTCAAAAATAAATTAAAAATATTGACTGCTGAATATCATAATGGTGATAGAACCATAAATAACTTTTTACATGCAATAAGTAATGTGATAAGACATTTAAAATAGTCATAATATTATACTTAATTTTTAATTATTTCCTATGAGTTGCACAATATTAGTACGTTCTTCAAAATATATATTATGATATTAATAAGTATTAACTCACATTTATTATTTTATAAAAGTTGCCGAATTATTTTAATTTTATTATTATGACAAATTTTATTTTATATGCCTAACTGTATTAATTTTTTTTTATAATGATATTAATAATTATGACCACTGACCAGTCATATATTATTTTATAAAAGTTGTCGAATTATTATTGTATTATTATGACAAATATTATTTTATATACCTAGCTGTATTAATTTTTTTTTTATAATGATATTAATAATTATGACCAGTCATATATTATTTTATAAAAGTTTCCGAATTATTATTGCATTATTATGACAAATTTTATTTTATATACCTAACTGTATTAATTTTTTTTAAATGTACTCAATATAATATCGAATATGAATGTTTCCATTTTTTCAATTTACCTATTAATATGTTTTTATTTCGGGTATTATTGCCAAGGGTATTTTTTCTTATGGATATTATTTCCTCGTGTATTTTTTCTTTTAGGTATTATTTCCTCGGGAATTTTTTCTATCGGGTATTATTTCCTCGGGTATTTCTTCTATCGGGTATTATTTCTTCGGGTATTTTGTCTTCTAGGTATTATTTCCTCGGGTATTTTTTACCGGGCATTTTTTCCATGGGTATTTCTTCCTCGGGTATTTTTTCCTAGATTGCCTCCCTTGGGATGATTATATGCAACAAAGGAAACGCTCCGTCATTCCAGCGAGGGAACGCGGAATCAATAGTCGACCTAACCTTAGCGTCGCACGGCCTGAGCACTTTCATGACGAACTGGAGGGTATCCGATGCCACATCACTTAGTGATCACAAATACATACGCTTCGACACACAAATACTCACCCAGGACACCGTAAGTCCCCAAGCAAGAACGAAAAAATTCAGGATTGACTACAAGAAGCTAGTTGAAATCCTGGAAGAGGGGAACTTGATCAATGCGGATCAGTTAAACGTGGAAGAATGTGCTACCGCTCTCGCCGAAAAGCTCAGAGAAACATGTGGAGTAGAAACCGACGGTAGAACCGGGAAAAGGAAATCGGTCTACTGGTGGACACCATCACTCGAAAATCTGAGAAAGTCGTCTAACCAAGCTCGCAGAATTATCCAGAAGGACCTGACGAGTGCACAGCGGGACTCGACGAGATGAACAAGGCCAAGCTGGAGCTTACAAAATCAATAAAAAGCCGTCCACCGAAAGAGCTTTGGAACCACGGAGTCGTCCATAACATTGTCAAAGGACTATTCCCTGTGCACCCACTCCGCAACCCGAGACCTTGGCAGCGAGAGGTCCCACCCAAAATCTCTAAGGAGGTACTTGCCAGGGCGGCCTGCTCGTTGAGAAACAAGATAGCACCGGGAATGGACGGTATAAATAACGAGGCACTGAAGATAATAGCAAAACGCCAGCCAGAGACGCTGCTGGAGATCTACAACAAATGCCTAGAGGAAGGACGATTTCCGACAGTATGGAAGAGAGCGTGGTTGGTACTCAGAACATTTTTTTTTACCGATTTCAACCCTTTAAATTCAAAATTTCGAAATATCCTTTCTTAGAGGATGCCTACGCTATAATAGCTATCTGTATGCCAAATTTCAGTCCAATCCGTCCAATGGTTTGAGCTGTGCGTTGATAGCAGTCAATCAGCTTACTGTTTTATATATACAGATAAATAATTAAATAATAAATATTTTATATTAAATACTAATAAATAAATAATTGTTTAAAGGAAAATTATTATATAAATGTATGTATATTTTTTTTCTATTTTAAAAAACGTTTTTCTAAATTATTGTGATATATTATATATTTCCTTTTGATTTGAAAGTTCATAATTTTTAAAATTATTGAAGTGTTTATTAGTACAATTGGTCAGTCAAATGATTAATGAACTAATAGCTTTAGAAGCATTCAGTCAGATATACAATAAAGATGTAGTAATATGTGGTTGAATAGTAGATATTAAGCGACCTTGGCTATGTGCAAGTTCCAATATTGACTTATTTTGAACAAAAGTGGTACAGAAAAGGTATTGTAAATTAAATGTCCAATATCATGTATTTACAAACTAATAGTTGATTCTAATAAAAATATAAATGTAAAATACTTGGAATGGGATAAGAAAACTGGAAAATTAGCTTTAAAAATTACACATGAATATTATATTAAATTCCAATTGTTAATGCAATGCAGTGGTTTGAACTTTTGTGACTTATTTATATATAATATAATTGAACCAATTCTAGTTACACTAGAAAAACATCAACTATTTCTTAATAAGTTAATTAATAAAATTTAATTTTTTTAATCAAAATTGGTTGATAATTGTGATGCTTTACAATATTTTTAATACCTATCTTATTCGTATAACTATTATTTTATTTGTAAGTTTTGTTTTATTCAAGTTGAAATCATTTAATAAATGTACTCATTTAGTTTTATTAAAAGTAGTATATATTTTTTGTAATTTATGGTGAGTATAATTTAAAAATATTAGGTATTAATAAAAATATATATAATTTGATACATAACGATGTTATTTAATAATGCATAATAAATACATGATGATGATTAACACGCTGCTCAACAGTACTTGGCTGTTCAACTTTTTCCAAAAAATTCTGGACCACACCAAGCACGACAAAATTATACGGTACTTTATTCTAAATTTAGTATTTAATAAATATATAATGTAATATTAGTAATTATTAGTTATAACTAATAAGTAATAACAATCCTAGGCAAATCATAAATAGGTATAGTTTAATTTATGATTTAAATTGAAATTCTTATATAAACAAAAACGATTCATAAACAAGAAAATATATAAAATTTACAGATTAGAGATATAACTTCAAGACAGGAAAGGTTTATAAAATCGCAAGTAATTCGTGAACAAATACATACGTTGAATGTTGATGGGGATATACTAATGTTCCTCAGGAGGGCAGGCCATCATAATGATGGATATGTTCAAGGACAGATTGGTCCATTTCCTGTAAGATATTTAACTATGAATTTTGATAATATTTGACAAGTGAAGATATAAAATAGTTTGTAGTTATTTTTTCTGTTAACATTTTTACAGTATCACAACATATAAATAATAATAATTTAACTATAAATAGCCTGCTTGAAAGACGGTTTGTTTGTGGCACAAACAAATGTTTTTTATAGACTACCTAGGTATATGAATATACTTAATATTTTGTGACAGTATGTGATAAACACAAAATTTTTTATACCTATCTGATTTTTTGTAATTGTGTTTTATTATTTATTTATATTTATTGCTTGAATAACTATTTCCTTTTGATAGATTAACAATTTTAGATTCTAAGCAGAACGATGAATGAAATGATTCTACAATGATATGTGTATTGTGTATAAAAGCGTGATTTACATTTTATAATATACCTGCTATTATATTATGTTTTAACTGAAAATCTTGAAATGAAGAAAAAGATTTTAGATTGTTATTTGTCATAATTGATTTATAATTATTATAATAATTTATTTAATACCAAATAAAAAGGTCTTATTTAAAATTATGTAATAAAATTAGTAAGTATACATAATATGAAAATACTATATGATATTATATATTTGGATAATAAAATATTCAAATAGTAACCAAATTTAATTCAATAATACGTGAAAAAAACATACTTAGCCATGCTTAACCTAAGTTTGTAACATTTTACCCAAGATCAAAACAATTATCTAATACTTTATTGATTGTAATATTATTAACATATTATTATATTATAAATAAATTACCTGGTTTGTATCGACCGTGCAGTATGAAAAGTTTCCATATAGTCGCTGTGTACTGTGTAGTCACTACACCAGGGCCTACAATTAAGGTGTTTTGCTACTGCACACCTAATTCCACATCAAAATATTTTAAAATAATTGCACATGCAGTGGTGTATTGGTAAATAAATGTATGGGTATACGCACCTAAAAATAGTTGAATATACATATATATAACTTCTTTAAAACATTTTCTCGTTCCGCTTGAAAAATCATTACACTTAATATTCAATAATCTTTTATTACTTTATTACAAACACTAACCTTTCATGTGCATATGTATATGCAATGGCGTATATGGCGGGTAGTTCATATTCACCCCTACCCCGAAATTAATTCCTATATACGCCACTGTGTGTAATATGTACCAAGCATCAGTATCTAACGTATTATTTTTTTAATTAATTCAATTCATAAATATCATAAAGAATACAACTTTTTATTATCAAACTTAAAAAAAAATGTACAATAAAATAATGGACTAAAGTACAAGTACTAAACTAATAAAATAATAAACAACTTTAGATAATATACAGTATTTATTAGGTATATTATCTATTAATCTATGTTAATAACATATCCGAATTTAAATACTATTATAAATCAATTTACCAATTTTTTTTTTGTTGCCAACTTAGAAAAGTAAAAACCCCACCCAACCCGCTTCAAGGGTGACACCAACCTAACAATAACCACTGATATATTAGATATTCAAATATATTTATTTTACAATTTAAATATTAATATAAAATAAATTATCTATATATATATAAATGAATGTATGTCAGTGTGTGTGTCTGTGTGTCTGTGTGTCCATGTTACCATGGTTACCAAGGTTGCCATGGTTACTAAGGTTACCAAGATTTCATATCAATCTATATATATAAAAATGAATGTATGTCAGTGTGTGTGTGTGTGTGTGTCCATATTACCATGGCAACCATATCTGTATATAAAAAACAGTAAGCTGATTGACTGCTATCAACGCACAGCTCAAACCATTGGACGGATCTGGCTGAAATTTGGCATACGGATAGCTATTATAATATAGACGTGCGCTAAGAAAGGATTTGCCAAAATTCGCATTTTAAATAGGTGCTGAAACAGGGACATTGAGATTAACGATAGAAATTGGAAATTTTATTTTTATTTATTTATAGTTGCCATTGGTTACAGTCTACATTAGAAATTAGCATTTATTTATTGGTTGCCATTGGTTATTCGGGCAGATCAGGTACAAGCTTGCATCAAATCGAATTATTGAACAATGCTTACCAGGGTGGCAGAGTTGCACTTACCGCAGAAAATTACACCCAAAAGGAGTTCAACAATCATAATTTTTTTAAGAGTTGCGATTTTTTACGAGCAACCAAATTTATAAACTTGGTATAAATTTGATACTTTAGAGTTAAATCATACACTTTCGTACAAACAGCACGGGGTCCGCGATCTACCGCAGGTAGATTGCCTACCTGATAATGTACTGCTGCGATTCAGAATTTTTATTCAGGGCAACGGGAAAGATAAGATAAATTTTGAACACCATACACGTTAATGAATTGAACAAAGTTTGAGTAGGTAGTATTGAGTTGATCCATTTAACGGGCGACGAAGTGCACGGGATCAGCTAGTATTTTCATAATTATCCATTAAAGCTAAATAATATAAATAATTTTAAATTCGTTAATAAACTATGTACCATAATATAGGTTCCCAAAGATTTTCTTTTAGGAAGTCCCTTAAAATATCACCAATGATTACTAAAAATCGTAGGTACTCCGGTTAGTTAATAAATGTTATGAAATAATTCTTAGTAAAAAATTTATTAATTAAAAATAAAAATAATTTAATTTATTGAAAAAAAAATATAAAATTATATTAATGGTAAGTATTATTTTATAAATTATGATGAGTACCATGATCCTAATTCAATATAATATATTATTTTATGCTATTTATAAGCCGAACAACAAAAAACATTTTTTCCCCAATTAAATTAAAATTGTACCTACGCCTATTGAAGATTCAATGCATATAGTGTCAAAGTGTCTTTTGATCTTTCTTGACAAAAGAGATTTCTGTAATCTTTTATTATTGTTAGTAATTATTTTACTTCTCATTTTTATTGTTTTAATTTAACAAATATTAACTATGGAGCAAATTGATGTCTTGAGTGAACATAATTATGTATATTTGGAAGGTCAAATCACAATTGAGAACCATTTAATTGACCATAATTATCATGCTCCAAGTAAGTACTTTTTTAAGTAAAAATTATGAAGTTTCATAATGGTTCACAATACACTCAAGGCTGGGCATTAATTTTTTATCAT